TCGCGAAACGTGATTTTGTAAACACTGTCCAATGCAATATGGCAGTAAGCGCACTTAGGCGTTCGTGTTGGTGTATTTTCGAAAACATACAAACCGTAAAGACACTAAAATTCACCGCGGCAGGGATAAAAGCGTCAGTTGACTTGTTTGGAACATTAAGTGCATGCTACTAAACTATTCTCTTCAATTAATTAACCAATTAAGTGACCGGTCATGATTACATAATTCTAAAATTGCCATGGTAACTGTCTCGGTCTTAGTCTTAGGTAAGATTTTGCTGAGAGAGTTTCATGATCCAGTCTTATCTAAAATCTTAGCTTTTTTTGGACTTTTGATTTTTTTGTTCTAAGCAAATTTTAGACTTAAGATTTTTTCATGATCCCGGGGCCTGGTCTTTCTACGACTATTATTTGTGTGACATATGTAAATGTAATCATGTATAATCTCACTGCACTATCGTATCTGAACACCATCGCCATCGCCCCCTTGTGTTACTTCTCTCCACCGCTGAATAAGCGTTTGCAAATCAAACGTCTCAAATGTATGTTGGTGAACCAATGTTTTCATAACAACCCCGATACACAAGTCCAAAAAGCATCAAAGGAAATTTAAACTTACCAGATTTCTTAAACGTAGTCTTTTTATGATTTTACGTTATGCCTACATTTTCCTACAATCGCCAGCAGCTGAAGGGATGATATAAACCCAGCTAGGGTCCATGCAGGTAGCAAAGGCACTGTAAGTCCCAATGGTCCCTAGTATGGTGATCTACCTTCAGTTGTTGGTGATCTACAGCCTGTTTTTATATTGTATTGCTTCCTTTAGTTCGTCCTTCGTCGACAATGTTTTTGTATAATTTACTTGCGTTTATTATGAATTTATAACTTTGAAAGTCACAATCTGAAACATTGCCGATGTGATTGTAAATTTTAACTCACTCACTCACACTCAAAACAGCCCCCTCTCATGCATACCATGTCAAATTAGACACGTTCACTTTTAATGCCTAAGGCTTATTGTTACTGTTGCACAGAAGTGTTTTGAAAGCGAGACTCATCAAATCAATTCTCTTCAGAGAGTTGCTTCTCAAAGGCAGATCATCGTTGTTGGGCTATCTTTTTTAGTGTCACGTGGGTTTTACTGAATTTCTTTCATGCCTACTTGGCAACATTACAGAGATCGCACACATATTCACTATATAATTGAACGGGATGTGTACTAGCACGTTCGGCATCAAGAACTACTTGAAACGTCATTTTGTCCCCGTGTTTGAAGGCATCACACAGAATTGGTTTTAACGTAATCGCTCGGTAAGGGTCTTTACCCACGATCGTGGCATTAAGTGAAAGGGATAGTTTATTAGGTTTGTCTTCTTTTATTCAAAGATTCAATTTATGTACACAGTTTTGATAAAATGACTATCGAGAACATTGATGTGTTCGAGCCCTGAAGTTTCGGAAATGCTTATGGTAAATCTCAATTGTTGACCTTATAAATCGGTCAAAAAGACAGACTTCTTTGATCCTTATTTATAAGGGGAACATGTCCATAATGATCCTTCTTTATCGCTGGAACCTCACGATCCCTATGCATCAATGAAAATTCACCACAGTGATCCTTATTTATCACCAGAACCTCATTACAATGATCCTGATTTAAGCCTATTTAATTACTAACTGATTTCAATCAAAGCACAGAATGGGGAGCAGAATGTGCCTATGTGGAACCCTGGAGTGGCTTTACACTTTCAACCCCTTTACAGTTTGGATGCCATCCACCTGTTTTGGGAAGTACAAGTTCTTAAAATTGTCTCGTTGCATTTCTCGATCTGTCATTGGCAAGTTCAGTTGCATAGACCCGGAAAGTGATTAGGGTGTTTGAGTCCTTACAGGTCCTGTCAGGAATCAAAGGATTAAATTACATTCCCTGAATCACCTGTGGTTTGGTTAGTGCGCACCTGCCGAAGTGGTCAGTAGTCTGCAGTCATTATAAAATATACTACATGTATAAACATTTCTCAGTACGAACTGAACTAAGAATTAGCAGAAAGCTGAGAAGGAACATAATGACCCAACTCTACACAAGAAATATATTAAAATAAAATTGACACTTATGACAATTGCACAATAAAAGTGACAATATAAGAATTCTCTGCCATGATCATTGTGTACAAAAAAAAGAATAAATGGAATATGGTAAATAAATGGAACAATGACAGTTTTGAGTTGGCTGATTGACAGAGGACAGAAATCACATCAATAAATGATTGTTTTCAAGAATAAGACTGATTTTGCATATAAAATCAGAATTGTTTATCTAGTTGATACTTTTTTTAAACAACTATGTTTTTGTGTGTCATATGTTGGGAGTCTGATTTGTGTTGAAGATGGTTGTCTCCATCTTCTGTTAAGCACTTAAACATACCTTGTTAAATAGTTTCAAGAATCTGTTCCCTTTGGAGCGGGGACCATCCCAACTGTACTGACTGGCTGTGTCACCCTGCACCGATCAGGTGGATCATTTATCATGCCATGTAGCGTTTGCTTGTATGGCTTTTCTTAGAACTTGACGGATGACAAAGAGTTAATTGGTAACGACTTTTTTAGAGTTTTACTTGACAACGATATAGGGATCTGTGCCGAAACCCCGATTACAGCAAATGAAGTTGATATCCATGAAGTGTTTGTACACTTTCGACTGTTTTGTCTGAACTGGAGTATTCACAGCCGATTGTGTCAAAGATATGATGTGCTGACTTCTAGGTAAAACGTTCCTTTCAGGATAGACAGTGGTTTCGATTAAACTAAAGTACAATGTCCCAACATCACAAGATCCATATAACTTCCACTTTGTCCTTGATGTTCCAACTTACAAATTATCCAAATATATTTTTTTTTATGTAATACCGGCTTTCTAACGCCAGCTAACTACAGAACTAGCGAAACAACACGAAATAGACACCAACGCATGTGAGCACAGACCCACACTACAAATACAAGAACAAATACCGTGATACAGTATGGTAAGTTGAGCAATGACATTTTCGGATTTACGTATCATGTTTAAAAGTATTATCCTTCTAAAAACCCTTTTAAGTAAACAAGCGGTGTCCCAATGCGTAGTCACTTACATATACAAACACGTTTAACTAACAAAAAGTGAAGCACTTCAAATTAGATTGTTGAATATTCTTGACAAGAAAGCATACACAAACACATTTGTATTCAAATACATATGACCAGTGTATAATTATCAGAGAAATGCAAAATGGGTTTTTATCTCAGTGTAAGATACGCAGAACATTGTCAGAATTCATACTGCAGTTTGTACTGACAAAAAACACAATACGGTATGAATCTATTCATAGTTGCTTTCACGTGTAATCAGAGAAGTACAACAATCAACGCAGGCAGCTAAATCGATAAATTGTTATATATATGCAGCATATGTCATTTAAAACTACGTGTTTTCAATAACAGGTGTTACGGACAGCAAAGCTTATTCATAGCAAGTTTGAGGAAATACATTCCAACAATGGTTGCACTCATAGCTGCCTTCCACTTACCTATAAGTTCCAGTTTAGACATTACAATACATGTCCTGCTACGACGGGACACAGAAATGGTAAGAGTTTGTTTTAATGATTTATTTTAAAATACTTCAGAATGCATAATAAAATGATTAATAAACATACTCTATTTCACAAAGCCACACGTGACAAGGCGATTATTGTAGTAGGTATGACTTGTAAAAAAACAATGGAATTTTAGGGTGGTTGAAAGTTTGACACGAATAACGTTTTAGACCGAGTGCATCGAAGAAACGTGTCATCATTTGGGGATCTTGAGGAAAATACGCGGTGCCATGTGTTCTTGTGATCACCTTACCAACACATTTCTAAATCTGGTTTTGAGAATAACACATGCCCTTTTGCAAATGGTAAAGATCCTTTTTACGCCTCTTAATACTAATCTTGATACTTAATATGAATATTTAATTGGATATACCGAGTAATAATATCTAGTTCAGAAATGTCTTACTATTACCCATTGAAAGTTTAGACTCACTAGTGTAAATGTAGCTACATACTTCAGTCAACTGTTCTAAACTAGATTTTGCAAAATATTCCATACTGTTTACAGGTACTGTTTACACATGAACTGTTGTATTGTAAAACAAATTCCTAACGTTGTAAAGATCATTGTCATGAGTTCAGTAACTGATGAAAATCAGTGAAAATTGGCGAAATCTTAAAAAACTTTATACCAAAACGCAGCTATTCACATGCACGATATTTGCACATGCTTTTTAGCAATTTGATGCATGATTCTCGTACAATTCATCTGCATAAATTTTGCAGTTGGTTCCCCCACGTTAGTGGAGAAATTCATCTTTAATGTAACCATAGCATATAGTGAGTGCTTTAAGTGAGTCTACACTTTTGATGGGTAGTATATGAAAAACACTAATGAGTACTTACCCTGCGTTTAAAATAACTCTTACAATGAGTGTATATACCAATTTGAAATTGTGTAAACCTGTGAGCATTTTGAGGAATATACGCGGTATCATGTCCTCTGCAACCAAATTCATTTTTTACATATTTCAAACTCGATTATCGTCAAAGGAAAACAGAGACATAATGTACATATTACTATGAATGCCAACAAGGAGAGCAAGTCTTCTAAAAAGGGCGTAGGTGGGTAGTCACGCCGAGGAGAAGGGTCTATTTCCACACAGAGACGACCATAGTTTCTGTCTCCGCAATACTAATGCTGGGCTTAAAGCGGCGTAAAACTACAATCGCTCATTCACATAATTTTCTCCGACGTTATTACATGCTTACAGAAATGTAAGTTGTAACACAATAAATATGGGGAATTTATAAAGATGATTATGACAGCTTCATGTCACTTAAATTGGACATACGTCAAATTACATCATTACAACTAAGTGTGGATACTTTAGAACTGACATTCAATTTCAAGTTTCTCCCTTACCTTGCTGTTAACTGGTAGACCCACAAAATTTCCCGTGCATGGAATTTTCCCAAACCAGGCCTATGAACAATAACCATCTGGTCACTAGCTTAGAGCTTCATTGTGCTGACATAGCACGCCAAAGTAGCAAGCGCTCGCTCTTGTGGCGACGTTGAAGCTGACTCTAGCATCTCAGATGGTAGTATCGCTCACAGCTCTAGTCGCATCACGGCGCCTGCAGCATGCCATTGGTCGCTTTCCAATTAATATAGGTGCCGCCATACCGCCCATGAGCCTGTGATAGTTGACACTGGAGACTGTTTCATAACTGGTGTGAGTGTCTGCTTGCCTGCGACGTGCGATGGAATAAAATGCTCTTCACAGCATGTGCTCATGAGAGAAATGGTCTCAGAGTCCATTGCAGGAATACACTCAGCATAGTTTTTTATGCAATGTATATCCTTAGCTCTTAATGTATCATGTGGCATTAGCTATATCACATGTACAGTTGAACGTATCTGTGCTTTACTTGCAGATTTACTCATTCTCTACTTCTCATATAAATCTGTATGCATTTATGTGTCTATAGCAGTATACGTTAAGACAAATCTTGAACGAGACGTAATTACTGGCAGCTTAGTTCCATGCTGGTCTCAGTGGATCTCTTACGGATGATCCATTCCAAATGTCAACGTAATATATGTTTCAAATGTCGGATGCTATCATTTAGCTGTTCATACATGTAACGTCCTATTCAGTCAAGCAAGAACATCAGGAATGATGAAGAAGAAAAATGTTAATGAGACTATTTCTTCCTGATTCGATATTTTGGATTTAGAGTTTTTAATAATTGCATGTTTGTATGTATATCTGGTATCGTGACTCAAACAAAAATGGTAACCAGCCGTAGAGAGGATAGTAATGGTGTCTCCTTACTGAAACTAATGACTAGTTAAGCATTTAGTATATGATGTGTTCTCAGAATTCAAAACACACCAGTTATCAATACTAACCCATAACTGCATGAGAATACTCTTTTCGTTCACTCCACATTTGCATGAAATATATTTTGGTAATTGAAAAGAGCAGCCGTAAAGAATATTGACGCCAAATACAGTAGTGAAAGTCGTTGGAATCAAACTGAAAAATATAAAAAAATTAAGACAAATGTCGCGCCGATGTTTCATTACAATGTAAAACTCTTAACTGTCTTCGTCTTCAACAACATATTGAATTAACAAGGTTACAAGAGTCCGAAGGACCAAGTTTTCACAATGTCTACTATACGTTCTTGCATACCTGGGGCGGTGGGGTAGTCTAGCGGTTAAAGCGTTGGCTCGTCACGCCGAAGACCCGGGTTCGAATCCCCACATGGGTACAATGAGTGAAGCCCATTTCTGGTGTCCCCCGCCGTGATATTGCTGTAATATTGCTAAAAGCGGCTTAAAACCAAACTCAGTCAGTCAGTCAGTGTTGCATACCTATCAAGCAAACCAAATTACATTGGGCGAAAACAATCAAACATAATCCAGTCAGGAAAACTGATTAGTCTGACGATATGCGGAATATTTTAAAACAATTTCGGGTCCAAATCGGCTGAAATTCATTGGGTTTTTTTTTCAGAGGACTTACACACTCTTTTAAAACTGTCTGTTCTTATGTATTTGTTTGATCTAATTTTCCTTATAACCGGGAGGGATAAATACAGCATAATGTATTTCTCAGTTAGTTAGTACATATGCAATGTGAAACTAAAGCCCTATCACAAATAGACGATTACGAAGAACATAACATGCATACATTCAGATATCAGTACAGCATTATATAACGGGGGATCTAATTCGGATTTTCATCATAATATAAAATGGCTTGAAATTTACCACTGGTTGTCTGGTTTTAGGGATTAACATCATCTCAGTACGTGTGCTATGATGTTTTGTCTTTAGTAATCATGTTGCATAATTGGATTCTAAACCCAAAGAATCTAAGTAGTATTCGGAGGCCTTTATGGGTAATCGACCTTGTCTAAGTATACACGCTGAGTAGATTCATAAAACGGTATTATTCTTCAATGTTGAAAATGCGTCTGTGTGTGTAATTATATGTATGTGTGTATATTTATATTGGTATATCTATGTATGTTTGGCTTGTTAAAATTGTTCCATATTTAGCGTATAGAAACGTCAGAAGAAGTATCGCTTACATCAGTTCACGTTGTTCTATGTGACATGATAGAGCATTACGTATCATGAAAAAACATCGTCGATATGTTGGAAGCCATCTGCCTAGTTCTGCTGCCATTTACTTCTTTATAATCACGACTTGTCACCGCTGTAATGTCTAACGCGTCTTTTCGTCTTGATTTACATGTTTCATGCTTGTCAGGCTATAACCGCTATTACTGAGAATGTTTTAAAACGTCTTCCATTTCTTTCATGGGCAGTAATAACTGTCCTTCACAGTATTATAACGTAGCTCTTAAATAGAACTTGAGTGCACAGAGTGCATAAATACAGCCTTGTAGAGATGAACTATGCCATAGTCTTCATCCATTCTTACCGTTTGTTCTACAATTATCTGATATAATGAAGATAAACGTTATGTAATTTTAGATGTTGTTACATTGTTTTTACGCCGCAATCAGCGATAGTCAAGCTGTAAGACGGCGGTAAATATCGATTCTGGACAAAACAAACCCATGATTGATATTATGAACATCGATCTACCCAAATGGGATACGATGACATAGTCACTGCGCCAGACCAACTGATCCCGTAAGTCGGCTCTTAAGATAAACAAGGGTTGCTGAATATCAATTGTAACCCGAATCTTCACGAGTCTGTTTCATTGTACACGGAAAAACATTTAACATGTTTGGTTATGGATGATAATGAAAAAATGGTTATTCGGTTTTGTGGGGTTGTCTTTGGGGTGTGTCTTTTTTTCGCTTTTGTTTTGTTTTGGATTTGTTTGTTGTTGTTGTTGTTGTTTTTGTTTCTTTGGGGTTTTCTTTATCTATTTTGCCTTTACTGTTTTTATCACGTTCGTGATTTCTTGGTCTAATTCAATTTTCAAATATATATTTTCCTTTGCCAGGCAGATTAGATACACGTGTGTCATATTATAGAGGGGTTATGCTCACACCTTTTTGATCCTATATGATTCCTTGATCAAGGCGTTTCAGGTGGTGCCATGTGTGGAACCGAGACGTACTGTGTGTAATAAGGTTATCATCGACTGGAGAACTGATGTACATTTAAATATGAAAAGCACGATCAAAGCCGGGTATTAGGAACTTGAATCAAATCCGCGAGAACTGATCATTAGTCCGAGCCAAGACACGTGGAAAGCTTAATTACGAACACGCCAACAAATTATACTGAAAATTACGTTGTAGTTGATTATGACAGTTAATGAGCCATAGTAGACCAATCGTTGTGCAGGGGCGGATACAGCTTTTTGAGAAAGGTGGGGTGCACACTATTGAGAAAAGGAGGGGTTCACACTTCATTTTCACCCGAGTTTCAATGGTCATTTAACAAACATTCAGCACAAAAAGGGGGGTGCGCACCCCTGCACCCCCCTCAGGATCCGCCTATGTTGTGTAAATGTCTACATGCCACTCCCACGTCTTTCATGTATAGACAGACTGACTGACTGAGTTTGGTTTTACGCCGCTTTTAGCAATATTCCAGCAACATCACGGCGGGGGACACCAGAAATGGGCTTCACACATTGTACCAATGTGGGGATTCGAACCCGGGTCTTCGGCGTGACGAGCCAACGCTTTAACCATTAGGCTACCCCACCGCCCCTTCATATATAGACGGATGTGTACGTTTGCCATTAAGCATCATAACAGAACATATTATCCTCATGCGGCATTGGTTTATTGTACTGTTATGGCGTTTACTTCATGTGGAATGTACAGTCAGGATATTTTTATTAATCTGAAATCATAATTGACGTCACTGGTGTGCGTGTACATATGAGAACAAGACTAACATCACACATACATAAAACCAGAGAAAAAATAAATATTAATCTTTCTTTGAAATGTAAAAGGTTCAAAGGCACATTCGATCTTTTCTATTGATCCAGAGTCGTTAGATGTAGTATTCATATAGGAACAGATTACGGGTTACATAAGATGTAAAAACAAGGCGATGTTTACACAATTGTTTTATACAGACGACAACACCATTTCGATAATGATAAGATGTACTTGTTAAAAGCACAGGTCTTTGTACTATATCAAATACATGCGTCCATGAATCACTGTTAAATACTGTAAAGGTGAGTGCATCGAGTCGCTCCGATGGTACCTGTCACAAACACATGCAAATACATGTCAATTTGAAGAAAAAGATAAAGTACCTTTTCATGCGAGAGTGCTTTTGCTGTTAACATGTTACTGTTTTCGTAAGATCTATGATCATGGTTTTTTTTACTTACGTTACTTAGTTACCATACTATGTTTGTTTGTCTTTTACAGTGAACAGGAGGCGGTGGGGTAGCCTAGTAGTTAAAGCGTGCGCTCGTTACGCAGAAGACCCGGGTTCGATTCCCCACATGGGTACAATGTGTGAAGCCCATTTCTGGTGTCCCCCGTCCCTTGCTGGAATATTTCTAAAAGCGGCGTAAAACCACACTCACCCACTCACTCATATTGAACAGTATAGGGCACATGCGTCTTTGATAAAGTGTGCAAAATTCCATCCTCGATAATCTAACTATAGTGAAGATTTATCGGAACGTATACCCTGGAGATTATCGAGGATGGCAAAATTCATGATCTTGATAGAACAACCGAGTTGAATGTTTCGGTTGAACACCATGAATCTCTGTAAAATTGTGAATTAGTGTATTTAGCCACACTTTCTGAGTGAGTGAGTGAGTTTGGTTTAACGCCATTTTTCATATCATTTTAGTCATATTGGAGAAAAACAGGAAGTCATGCAGGCCTTGGACTTTTCCCACTTTATTGAAATTCAGAAAGGTGGGTACAAAGCTTACTGGCCCGGAAACATGATCGGCGCGGATCTGAGATTAGAACAATGAACCGGTTTCTGTCACGTTCCATAGCTGTTACGCCCACCTATAATGTCAACATCGAGGTAGAATCATCAGTGATACAATACGTGACAGTACATGGA